TCCTTGCCTATCTCCTTGATGCGACGTTGAGAGTCGGCCAGGTTCTTCTCGGCACTCTGCACCTCAAGCCCGATCTTTTGCATCTTGGTGTCGAGTTGGGGGATCTGGTCTTTCAGTTCCCGGAGCCGCGTTTCAAACTCCCTCTGCTGTTCCTGGAACTCCTGGAACTTGGCCTCGATGCTATCACGGTCGGCTTCAAGCTTGACTACATGCTCCTTAGTCGTGTCAGCCACAAGCTTGCTCGACATGAGTCCCCTCTTGACTGTGGTGCCACCACCGGACATGGTACCACTCGTGTCAATGAGTTCTCCGGTGAGAGTCACCACTCGCCATCTCTTGGCACCGTACGCGATCCGATTGGCTTGCGCGAGGTCTTGGGCCACCAGAGTGTCTTTAAGTGCATGGTAGAATGCAGGTCGAAACTTGTCCTCTTTGGCATTGATCAAGTCGAATAGCCGTGGCGCGTTCTCGGGCGTTTGGATAGGTTGTAGGTCGCCCGCCCGGAGCTTGTTCAAGCAGATGAAGTTGCCTCGGCCGAGGTTGGTCTTGCGCAGGTACTCGATGCACTGTTGTCCGGCTTCCACCGTATCCGTGACGAAGTTGTCCAGGGCAGCACAGGCCGTCGAGATGGCCACATCGTATTTCTGATCAATGGTGCCCAGGTTGCCGAGACGGCCGTGGAAGCCATCGATACGCCCGGACTCCTTCATTCGCATCAACGCCGTAAGCACGTTACCGCGGTTCTGGTTCTGCGAGAGGCTTGACCTGGCCTCGTCGGCCTTCTGTCTGGCGCTGGACACCTTGGCACGGGCTTTGGGTTCCAGCTGAGCGAGATTCTGGAGCTCCGTCTCACACTCCTTGGCTTCCTCCTCGAGCTTTTCCTTTTCGGCCTGGCATTCCTTGAGCTCAGCCAACTTGGCCGTACGGCTCTTCTCGATGGAAGCGACCTTGGCTTGCATCTCTTCAAGCGCCACCGCCCCGGCATTGGCCTTCTCTTCCAGAATGGCCATCTCCGACTCTGCCACGGCGATGGCAGACTGCTTCTGGTTGATCTTCTCCTTCCAGGGTTCCAACGACTTCTGCTTGACTGCAATCTGGTCCGAGTAGCCTTGCGTCTTGCCCTTTAAACTGTCGCGGATGCTCGCCAATTCAGCCTCCTCTTCCTTCATGCTCTGTTCGAGGGCCACGATCTCATCAGCACGTGACGCGATATCAGCAGTGCACTCCTCGATGGTTTCTTCAGCGTCTGCCGTATTTTTCTCGGCATTGGCAATCGTCTTTTCGAGTTTCTTCTGCTTATCCGACAGGAACTTGCGCTTCTCGTCAAACTTGACTCTCTCCTGCTCGAACTTGGATACTTCCTTCACAAGTGACTGCACGTGCTTGTCCTGGGCCTCGAACTCTTTGCTCCCTTTCGAGAAGGTTTTCTGTAGCTGCTTGATGATCTGTTCGCTGCCCTGGTGCTTCTCGAGTTCTTCGTCGAGCTGTGCTTGCATCTGACTGATAGCCTCGGCGGTCACAGAAATGTTGTCACCGCACTCGCTGATGTACAGCTGGTATAATGCCGACTGCTTCAAGGCGAGTTCGTTTTCGTCCCGAATGAATGCCAGTGCCTTGTTCTTCTTGTCCTCCAGACTGTTCTTTTCTTTCTCTACGTGCTGCACTCGCCCACTCTTTTCCATGCACACTTCGTTGAGGGTTTCAACCTCGGCTGCTGATTCCTCGATCGGGGCCTTGTACTTGGATGTCCCAATGATGTCCTCGAGGTATTCGAGTAGGCCGTCATCATGCTCGTTGGCGGCTTTTGGTTTCATCTGGGCGATCGATTCGACCTCACCCTGTAGGATAAGGAAACGTTTGTGGTCGAGATCGACACCTCGTTCGCGGAGAAGGGTAGTGACGACAGTGTAGTTGGATTCTTTGCCGTCGATGTAGTATTTGCTGGAGTTGTTCTTGAACGCCTTTCTCGAGATGACGATCTGAGAATTGGGGATTACTTCGGCGCCTCCTCCCGGCTACATGGAAAAGTTAGTGACATAAGAAGAGCAGGACGGCTAATAACTGTACTTACCAAATCCATTACTTCCTGAAAATGAACAGCAACCTCACAGTGGTCCAGATTAGGGTATTGAGCCGAGTTGTGAATCAAAGCGGATATCTTTCCCTGCCGCATCTTGCTCGCACGAAAACCGAAGACGAACAACAAGGAATCGATAACGTTGGATTTGCCCGAACCGTTGGGCCCGACAACGGACGAGAAGGAAGAATGGAAGGGGCCGACTTCCTGACGACCAGCGTAACTCTTGAAGTTGTTGAGGATAAGATAGGTGATGACAATCCGTGGCTTGGGGCCGGTGTCCTCAACGATAGGAGGCAGGGCCATCTGGCGTGATTTCAGGACAATGTCCATCGGTTTCTCCAGTATGGTATCCATTGGCTTCACGGGTTTGACCTGGGTAGGAGTGGCATCGGGATCGGGCGAACGACTCGGCGCGTTGACGCTCTGGTTGGTGACATCAGCCAGCGGCGTACTCGCGGCCTCCGGTGGTTCAGGGTTCTCGTCGGCTGCAGCGGGTGTGGGCGCTGGCCTGGGTGTGGCCTCCTCAGACGTGTCGGCAGCGGGTGTGCGTGCAGGCCTGGGCGTGGCCGCTTCAGACTGAGTTTCGAGTGCGGGAGTAGGCTCCTTGGTGGCTCCCCTGGTAGATTTCCGAGGCGCGGCGCTCTTACGCTTGCGCGCCGGCGGCTTCTTGGAGGACTCTTGCGGGCCGAGAGTGAGTGTGGACTCTTCCGACTCGGGCATCTCAGTGGTGGGCTTGGCAGTCGATGCGGGCGGCTTGACAGCAGAAGACTCTGCCGCCTTGGCCGCGGACTCGGGGGCGGCGCTCTTGCGGGGACGGCCTCGGCCAGGGCGTGGTGTCGCAGGCGCTGCAGACTTCCTCCTACTCGGGCGCGGAGGAGGACTGGCAGAGGGTTCGGGATCAAAGTCATCTTCGCTCTCTTCTTTGATCTTCTTGCTGGTGTTTGCGACCAGATCGTCTTCGTCGTCGGACGACTCGATGATGGCAGCGCGCCGGGCGGCTGCAGCGCGACGAGTTGGTCGTCCCGACATGGCGGGCACTGGGTGTATCTGGACAGTGCGGGGTCAGGTGAATGCGCCTGTCCTGCGCTCCGTATGCGGTTTCGTCCTGGAAGCAAAAACCTGCTGGGTTAGTAGTGGCGGGTGTAGCGGCGGTAATGCGCTCGTCGCCGGTCGCTGTCGTCGTTGTTGAATGATCACAAGTTCACAACGGCCGCATGTGCCAGCGTCCGGGTCGGAAGTAAATAAAAACAAGGTCCCTCCTATGCGGGCGCGCCCCACCAACGTCCAACGCTGCTGACCAGTGGTTTGGTCTCGGCGGGCCCACCCAACACCTTTCAGTGCAACGCGTCCGGTACATAAAATGCAGATATCGGGTTTCGAGCTATGTTATGCCACAAGCGGCATGCCTGCCACCAACTCTGCTACGCAAATACCAGGTAAACCTCCAACACCAGAGAGCTGTCAAACTGGATCGGTCCATGTCCAGTACCTCCCTCGAATCGGCAGAATGCTCGATTACACAGACTTCGACCGGGTCTTCGGTCCGCTGAAACCCTTTCCCTACAATGGCCCCAAGATACAGCAGGTCGAGGTTAATCGCCGACCTCTGCAAGGCGCCTTGTTTATCGACCGTGTGTTGAAGGCACTGCAGCTTTCCCAAGGCAAGTTCTCCCGAGAAGTGCGGACAGAGGCCGAGAGTATCTGCGCATGAGCAGCTACAAGCTGACCATCGCGACCTATTATATAGCGGCCACCAACTACCCGCCCAAGAACGAGAAGGCCCTCCGCAACCTACACGAGCAGGTCTGCGAGAACAACAACACCACCATCCACCACAAGCTCTCCATCATATACTACCTCCTTCTCGACATCGATGTGCGCATCCCCGGCGGCTCCCAAAAGGCCGAGTACTTCGCCTCCACTGCTGGCATTCCCCCCAAGTACTCTCTTTTCATGAGAGGTCTATGGTACATGGACAACCTGTACTACGAGGCCGCCCTGGAATACCTCACCCACCCGTCGATGCTTTCCGAGTTCGCCGATGATATTATCACCGTCCTCGTGCACGCGTCTAAGAATGGCGACTTCACCCTGCCGCTCGCCTACTACTATACCGTCCGGCCCAACATCCAGTCTTCGGCCGCCCTCGAGTTGCTGTTCGATGCCCTCGCGCAGTCCAGCGTCCCCGAAGCGTTCGATTTCACGCGATCCCATGCCGAGACTATGCGCCAACAGCTATTCCAGAGACTGGTGTTGACGGTGCTCGGATCTGCGCGGGATGAGGAGTCGGCAGAGAAGGCATTTGAGCTGACCAGTCTTCCCTTCGACGCCGACGAGGAGCGTTGGTTCAGAGAGTGTCTGACGAGTGGCGAGGGGAAGCGTTTGAGGGCAGCCAAGGACACCCTACTTATGCGTCGCATCGCCACCGGCAACGCGGCGGCTGTTTCCGGCGAAAAGGGCACTTGGGCCGTAGTTCTGGAGGGATTCAAGAAAGGCAGCGGCGGTCGCACCTTGGCTTAGATGGAGAATAGCTCTGAGCGACAGCCATGCCTTTCCATTTGCTTTGCATAGCGTTGGCGTTGGAACCGAAGGAAAACAGTTACCCGGTCACTCGAGCAGGCGAAGTTAGCTTGCGACCTCGACCACAATCACTTCCTATGTATAAAAATAAAGAGGACGTATAGATACCTATAGAGAACTCTGCGGTGGTCATGAGTCTCCTCGTTGAAAATGGTCCACCTTTTCGCAAAGGTACAACATGCTCGGCAAACGCGCTGCCTCAGGCACTGATGACAACAATATATGAGTATTGGCAAAGTACTAACAAAGTAAAAAAAAATAAGGGACGACGGAAGAAGAAGCAAGGTCGCATAAAAAAAGTGAGCTTTGGCTTTGCATGCTTAGGGTTGAAAAAAATATGCTCCGAATCGGGGAATCGAACCCCGAGCTTGACGGTGAGAGCGTCAAATGTTAACCATTACACCAATTCGGATCGAGTTTCTCCATTTTCCCCACGTAAAACTTAAGATTGTTACAGCCCTATATAATTAAAACAAAATCTATGCGCACTTCCTCACCAAACACACTTTCTTTAACGCTTTGGAATCCAAACACCAAGACATCACCGCTGCCTGAAAGAAGCCCCCCATTCGCCTGCCATTCTTCATAGCTTCTGATGCACGGGAGAATGGTCGCGCACTTGTTGCAAGCGCTCCTTGGCGCCCTAACCTTACCAGCTCAGTTTCACGGAAAGGCCAACCTTGATGTCAGGCGTGGTCGCTCACAGTAGGACGTGGCTCGACACAACAAAGATTTCATCGTGTGATGAACTGCTTGCTCTCTCAGGGAAATCGGTCTTTTATCTTGACCATGGTTTCGAGACATAATCTACATGCCTAGAAACCTTCTCCTTCGGATCTTTTCCCCAATATCGCCGTACCGCTATTTATCCTCTTACTCCGTGCTATCTCGAAGCAGAGTTGCATCGAAACCACTTAAATGGCGGCCAGTAGGTGTCGCAAGTTGATCGTATGCAGGACATGGTATGATGATGTCCTGGTTGGTGTAATTCACCACTGTCCTCGGCTTTTTTTTTTTTTTTTTTTTTTTTTTTTTTTGGTGTTGTCTTGCGTTACCAGGTTACCATATGTGCATTGTTCTGCCCGAGGTACTGGACAACGCAATGCCACTCCCGACCAACTGCCTACCCAGAATTGCACTATGCAAGAACATATCGTTTGTTTCTTTCGAAGCTGGAAACGAAGCTCCTTTTTGGAGGAGGAGGGGAGGTCGTGGCGCCCGGCGGAAGGGGGTGAGGAAGGGTTGGCCGATCCGGTATTCGTCGGAGGAGGCGGATGCTGTGTTTGTCAGCCCCGACTGGTCGGATCTGGAGGTCACGGTGCGGTGGCTGGAAGAGCATCCGGATGTGGCGGAGGGGAGTCGACAGCTAGGAGGCAGAGGGAGCCCGGCTATTTGTTGGTGGTGGGTATCTCAGCCCGGCGGCGGAGGTCTGCTACTGGAGGCGTTGGTCAGGGGCTGGAGTAGTGTCGTGCAGTTAGTTGGATGAGGGAGATCGGGGGAGCCAGCAGAATGTTAGCTGGGAGACGTTTGTTAAGGGGCGGAATGGTGATACTTCGGATTATCCTGAGTGACGTGATGGTCCCCTGAATGGATATCCTCCTACTTGAGACGCTTCAGAGATGGTTCGGAGCTTCCGTGAACGCCACGGATAACAACTGAGCTTCAGTGACAGAGTTGGTTGTCAATGTATAAGAACTTGGCTTGGGGTTGCTTCCAATCACACCCGGCTAACCTCAAGCTCTCAACCCTTGAGCAATATTTTCAACTCAAGCGCAACCCCTTAGGAGAAGCCAGCGCGTTGTTGATTAAGAGATTAGAAGTTCACTTCTTGAACATTAAGATTAACCCAGTGCGTATATACAATACATTCATGCTCATCAACAAGAAGCACCACTACCTTATGTACACAAAACCCCCCCATTCACAACCCCCCATCCTCAAAAGTGGCCGCCATCAGCAGATACACGGCCGACTCCTGTTTCCCGATACTCGAGTTCACAAACGGCCCCTGCCACGGGAGGTCGTAGTAGCCGGACGCGTTGCGGTCGCGGTTGTACGCCGAGACGGTATTGTTGAGGATGTAGGCGCGGTACGGGTGGCCGGCGAGCAGGGCGTCGAGCTTCCAGAGGCCGCGGATGAAGATGCCCTTGAAGGCGGTGCCGTTGGGCTCGCACTCGGCGGGGGTGTCGCAGGGCTCGGTGAGGACGCCGCCGGGCGATAGTCTCGGGCTGGCGACCACGGCGTCGGCGATGCCGCGCGCCACCTCCAGCAGCGTGGCGTTGCCCGTGGCCCGGTACAGCTGCGCCAGGCCCGCCAGGACCACGCCCTGGTTGTAGGTCCAGGTGGGCTGGCGGTTGTTCACGCAGGCCGCGTCCTCGGTCAGGCCGTCGTTGATCAGGTGGTCGGCGTTCAGCATCCCCGACCCCTCGAACCACGCCCACTCCACCAGGCTCTGGTTCAGGTAGTAGGCGTCGCCGGGGATGAGGTTGTGCAGCGTGGCCGTCAGCTCCAGGTACAGCTCGTTGCTGATGGCGTTGTGGTAGGAGAGGTTGCGGACGCTCCAGAGCAGGCCGCCGCCGCAGGTGGACGCGTTCCAGTACGCCCACATGTAGGCCTCGTCCTCCTTCGCGTAGGCCAGGTAGGTCTCGTTGCCCGTCAGCTGGTACAGCGAGGTCAGGGCCAGCGCCCACCAGCCGGTGTCGTCGGTGCTGTCGGCGCGGAAGTCGCCGCCGCCCTGGGGCCACCAGTCCAGGGGCGCGCTCTGCACCGCCACCGTGTGCTCGGCCGCCGCCAGGTACTGGCTCGACCCCGACGCCAGCATGTACTCGGTCACCGCCCGCAGCGCCACCCCGCTCTGCCACCACGGGTCCCCGCCCCAGATCCCGTCCGTCGCGTTGTAGAGGCCCATCATCGCGTCCACGGCCGCGTGCGCCGCGTTGCCGTTCAGCGGCTCCGAGCCGTTGGGCGAGGAGAAGGAGGAGGAGGGGGAGGAGGAGGAGGAGGAGGCGTACTTGGCCAGCGAGACGCTGGACAGGCTACACACGACGAGGCAGAGCCGGCGCAGCGGCCCGGCGTGCAGAAACGAATGTCTCATGACTGGGAATGAGGGAAACGCGATTTAGGGTCTTGAAACGAGTGACGAGGAGCACATCGGCTCAAGCAGAGCTGTTCGTATCGACGACGCCCAGCCAAGGCATTATATACGTGTGCCATAGTATATAAATATATACTCGACGAACCCCTGGCATAGAGTTCATGCAGCCGACCACAACCCAACCGTCACCCATGCGGTGCGTCCTCATGGCGAATGTCTCGGCCTCCCTGCCATCAAATGACTGGGCAGACACCGAGTCCGAGGCAGAAGAAACATGGCCCGAATGAAGCCTCCCCCTGTATCCCTCATGCGGTCCGACCTGTCAAGCTTCCCGTTTCCGTGCAAAAGGCTCGGCGGATTCCAAGAAAGAAACACGGTCCCCCGACGTCCAATCAGGCAGAACCTGCAGGCCGCCGCCAGGAACAGGCAACCCGGGCCACCACAGGCCATGCTGCCTTCGGACATACATAAAGTATGCATGGAAGTGCTATGCGCGCGGTTGACCACGGGCGGTCCGGAAACTTGATTGGAGCGGGCAGGTAAGGTACGGTACAGTATGTGCAAGTTCAAGACCTACCTATTCCGTGTGCGCAATGCAAACACCCACCCACGCATACGCGTACCCGTCTGTCCGGCGGTACAACCGTATACCTAAAGTACCTTAGCCACCAGAGTTTCCAGTCGCGGAATCAAACCAAGGTTGCTGCGATGCGTCTCGTGTTGGAAAACGCGGCTCATTAAGGCAGGTACTGCAATCCATGGTCTCGGCGACATTGCCCGTGTCATTGCCATGTGATCTGCAAGCGGGCATGACCTCGCGGCGCTCTCACGCGCCGGAGTTCGGGACTCGGAGGAGTCACCGGGTCTGGGCGGACTGTCTCAACAAGGCAAGTCATTTGGAAGCGAGGAGGACCGTCTTTTATAAGTCGTACAACGTGGTATTATAAACGGAGGCTCCAACAGCAGAGCGGTAGGTATCTGTATCTGTCTCATGACTACTTGATTATCTTTTTTTTTTTTTCCACTTTGTCTTCGCTTCTGCCCCAGCACACTTCCAAACAACCATAGCAGCAGCCTTATTGCGGCTTATAGTACCACGGTTCGTTAAAGACGTGGTAGCGGTGGCCTCGGACTCCCTTCCCTCTGAACAGGGCCGGGAACCGCCAGCCCTCGGGGACGTCCTGCTCCTTGGCCTTCCTGTTTCTAGCGGCGGCGTCACCGTCCAGCGCCGCGACCTGTGCCTTCTCCGCCTCGCCGCGCGGGATCACGAACTTGGCGACCTGCAGCTCCGTGTCGGTGATGGTGCTGCGCGACACCCGCGCGTACCCGACCCGCTGCAGGCCCTTGTACAGGATGTATTCGCACCAGCGGTCCCAGTCGCGGGGCTCCACGTCGTGCATCCCCGACGTCGCGGAGACGTACGTGTTGTAGTTGCCCTGGAGCGGCTTGACCACCAGGTACGACAGCAGCACCGCCGGCCGCTTCGACGACCCCATCAGCTTGGCCAGGTACTCCGACTGCAGCCGCCGGTCTTCGGGGTCTTCCTCTTGCCCCGAGTGGAACACATACACGTCCACCAGCTCGCCGTACATGTCCAGCGTCGCTGCGATCGCCGGCGCCAGCTCGCCCACCGGCGAGGGCAGGAGGTGGTGCGTGGAGTTGACGATGGGGAACTTGGAGAGCAGCGCCGAGCCCCAGGTATGCTTGTTGGGCCCCGGGCCGTAGTCCACGTACATGCCCAGCTCCTCGGCGAGAAACTGCGTCGGGTCTCGGTTGCCCATGATGATTCGCTGGAGGTCCGATTCCAAGAGGCCGATGACATCGATCTCGAGTTCCTTGATGAGATCGCGCATTCGGTACTCCGAGGACCAGCAATCGTTATCCAGGGAAAAGTGTACCGTCCAAATACCGGCCGTCATGATGCGAGAATCGGCGTGGTACGGCTGGTAGTCGTTGGTGGGAAAGCGAATATACGCCGCTGCGAGGAACATAATGTTGATCGCTGCCAGTGCTAGTGTGTGGTACTTGCGATGGCGCGTGATGGACGGCACCTTACTATCTCCAGAGCGACGCGCATTCATCGCGGTCAAGTTGAAGACACCAGCGCCGATGAGCAGCATCATGGTGATCATGATCCAGTCGGTATGCTCCCGCACGAGTGGACCGCCGGGCACAAACGCATAAGCGACGACCCAAACGTGGAAAAGCACCATCACATTGTAGACGAAGAAGCCGAACCCGAACGTCAAGCCTGGACGCTTCTTCGCCGCCGCGGCGAGTAGAGGGCTGGCGATTGCAGCGAGGTAGAATGCTAAAAC